GAGCCCCACGGCACGGCGGCACCCAGAGTCGAAGTTTACACGAGGGCTCACTCCTGTGGGGTGCATGTGGGGGTGGGGGGCACATGTAGAGTGACCTGTATCCATCACCACAGTCTCACACAGAGCGGTTTCCCTGCCCTCAAATCCTCTGGGCCCCCTGCCCACCCCTCCCTCCCTGCCTGCCTGTCACCCCCGACAGCCACCAACTTCCCATCCCCACATGCTGTGTCTCCAGGACGGCCTGTGGCTGGAATCACGGTGTGTGGCTCTCGGGCCAGCTCTTGTCACTTCGCCACACGTGTCCGGTGCCTCCACGCCCCGGTGATGCCTCGGTTCAGCCGAATACCATCCCACCGGGTGGCGGGAGCGTGGTTCACCTACTCGCCACCCACTGGACCCGAGGGGGCTGCCCTCACGTCAGGGACCTGAGCGTAGGGGTCATCAGGTGAGCCCGGCTTAGGGACACGGGGACCCACTGAGGGCCACCTCAGCACCGCCCTGCACCCTGCGGGTGCCGGGAAGGCCCGGGAGCTGCCCCTGGAGGGCCGGCTCCCTCGAGTCACACCAGACACCAACACGTCCCCTTCCTGAACGGTCTCCGCCTCTGGTGGCTCCTTATCCCAGGCCACAGGTGGGGCGTCAGCGGCTCTGAGAGGTCAAGGACGTGCCCAAGGTCACGCTGCGACCGACACCTCTTTTCCATGACCGTCCCCATCCCTGATGCTATGCCACGCCTCCTGCAGACCCCACGGGAAACCCAGCCGGCTCACTGGGCGGGGCCCGGGGCTCTCAGGAGAGAAGACTGGGGTCACTAAAAGCCCTGTTACACAGCACCCGGCGAGCTCCTAACTTCCTGCCTCCGTCGGGAGTGACAGCTCTCAGACTGAGCTCCCACTGTCACCTCCACAAACCCCACAGGTGGTGGGAGAGGAGCCTCTTGTCACTTCAGCAGAAAACAAGAGAAGAACACTCGGGCGTGGGGCACGCAGGCAGAGTGAGGGGGAGCTGACAGCGCCCCATTCAAAGCCACCCCCACTTTCCAGGCGGGCGAGGCTTAGCAGCGGAGACGGGAACAACAGTGTCTGGCGGAGGAAGCGGGGAACAAAGGGCTCTGAGATGTGTGGGGGCAATTTGGACAGTTGTGCAAGAGACATTGTTCTTGCCAATTGTTAGAGACGTAAGTTACCCAGAGAGCTTGCTGCGCTCACAGGCAATTGTGTTCCTTACACTTTGATGCAATGGGAGCTGCCAGACCCGCCTGGGACTCGCTGTGTGCGGTGCTGATGGACCTCGGACGGGGGAGGGGCCAGGGGGCGCGGGACATGGTGTCTGCGTGCCTTTGTTGAATTGGAACACTATCCTAGAGAACAGAGAGGACGGGTGGCGGTTCGGCACTCCGCTTGCCTGTGTCCCGACCCGACCCCGGACCCATGCGCGGCCATCCTCGCGTCCATCCGCCCTCAGTCCCTGAGCCCAGGGCAGGACAGCCCAGGGGATGTGAGCACACGGATTCCTGCAGGGGACACGCCGGGGCCCAGGGCGAGCCTCACCGGGGGCAGCCTAGCGTTATTGTCAGCATGCAGCTCGGACATGTGGGGGCCTGTGGAGCCCAGGGGGCCGGGGGCAGGGGGGAGAAGCTAGCAGCCGAGCTAGGCCCTCAACAGAGGGAGAGGGCCTTCGGGAAAAGGCGGAGGAGGGCGACCGCAGGTGGGCCCAGCAGGAGTGTGGGGTGACCAGGGCTGGGGCTATGTGCCCGCCCAGCGAGCGGCCGTCTGGTGGGACGGCTGGGTGTGCGTTACCGGGAGGACAGGGAGGAGCCGGAGCTTTCTGCAGGAGGAGCCCCTGGGGCCTGGGCAGGGGAGACCTGGTGAGAGCGGCTGGGATGGCCGCCACCACAGCCCCATGCGAGAGGGTGTGCAGTCAGCGACTCGGAGCCAAGTGGAGACTGGATGCGCCACCGCTGTGGGGAGACACCCCTGCTCTTGTCCTCCTGGCGGCATGAGGACCGTGGGCCGCCCCCGCTGGCCCCCCTGCCCCACCGGCCACGGCTCTGAGCCCCATTCTGGGCAGCAGGTCCCATGAGAACGTCAGTCAGCGAGCGCAGTCCCCACAGAGAGCCGGGCGATCAGAACCCATTCAAGGCGTAGCTGCCCGTGCCTGCGGCCACCTGAGATCTGGTCCCAGCACCACACAGACCGCCTGTCCTCGCCTGGACCTCGGCTCCCCATCTGTGACATGGTGGGGTGGCCCAGCTCCTCCCTCTGTCATCTCACTCCTCTCCACGCTCAGACCCGTCTACTTGACACAGAGATGGGCGTGCCAGCGCCTCTAGAATGGTGGCCACCCTAAACCTTCCAGCCCAGCCCCTGGTCTCCCAAGGCCTCGAGGGCGAGGAGGAAGAGGAGGAGGAAGAGAAGGGGGGAGGAGTAGTCCTCATCTCCGCAGAGAGGGAGCCCGGGCTCAGGCTTCGGCCCGAGAGGGACCCTGAGAATCTCATGGTCCAAGGGCCTACACCTTATGGATGGAGGAGAGAGCGCGACTCGCCTGAGGTCACCGTGGCGGCGGGAGCACTGCGAGCACTCAGCACGCCGTCCTTAGCTCTGCGGCCCACCAGGCTGGCCCCACGGGGGTTCCACTGTGGAAACCAGGGCTGTGGCCTCAGGGGGCACCTCCTTGGCAAATGCAGGTCTCTGAGCAAACATGCCTCCAGGAGGTCGGCAGGAATTCCTGTGCGGGAAGGTACGGGGTGGGGGGCGGGTCTGCATGTGTGTGTGGGGGTGCGGGGAGGGAGGGTTAGGGGTAGGGTGACTTTTTGAAGTCACTCCAGTCCTGTTCCTGGCATTTTTTCGATTTCCTAGCTTCTGGTTGTCAAACCAAATGAACAACCACTTGGCTCTAGTGCCCCCTAGTGGCCACAGTTTTAATAACAACTCTGAGGACAAAGATAAAAGACGGGACAGGACAAGCACCCCCAGAGGTGTGTGGAGGGCGGAGCTCTGAGCCTCTCGCCTGCCTGCAGGCCACCTGGGGACGGGGCGGGCGAATGGGCGGCGTCTGCTCAGCGTGTCTCGGGGAGCCTGCGGCTCTGCACGCGGGGCGCTCCCAGGTGCCGGCCAGGCCGCTGCTGCTCCACATGAACTTCGTGCACCTGCCCCCGAGCAGGCGCCTGGGAGTGCTTCCCTGTGCCTCTCACCATCCCGCGTGAGGGACAGGCCAGGACCCTGCCGGCGAGGGGCGTTCTCGCGGGGCCTCAAAAAGCCAGCACCCCCACATCCTCAGCAACGTGCGAGAAACACCAGCCACAGCAGCTACAATGACACAGGTTGCCCCGGGACTGCGCGGCCACATACCTGATGGCCCAGCGGAAAGTACAAGGGGGGGCCCTGAAGCAGGCGGAGTAAAGCCTTTCCCTTCAGAATATTTATCACGTAGACACTGTCACAGGGACACCAGGGACATGTGAGTAACCACGTAAACTTACAAATTGTGGAAATATGTTGGCGTCATAATTTATATCGTGCAAGAAGCAATGCCCTGTGCATGGATAGCTTGGTTATAAGACAGCTTGGTCTTGCTTTGCTGCAAGTTCCTTTACTGGCTCACCACATTTTACATTTTTAAACACTCGCTTCTTTTATTTTAGAGAGAGGGAGGGAGAGAGGTTTGTTGCTACTCGTGCGTTCATTGGTCGCTTCTTGACCAGGGCTTGAACCCACAACCCTGGAGTGTTGGGACGATGCTCTAACCAACTGAGCTGCCCTGCCAGAGCCACACCTCACCTTCAGTCGATAAGATGGACAGTAACATCAGCTGCCCCTGGCAAATGCAAGTCACCATTTTTGATAATTTTTCTTTCTGAGGAGGATTTTCCCGCGGCTGGGACTGGTACTGGCGCTGTGAAGAGTGTTTTGTAGGCTGTGATACTGGGGGTTACAACACTTGCTGCAGCTCCCACAGCCCATTAGCTACTTGGGAAGGAATTAGGAGGGGCTACACCGTCAGGCTTCATTATGCTAGGAGAGCTCTGCCCTCCAGGCTGGGACTTGCTTGCGGCCCTGCCACAGGTCAGCTTGAGGCTCGACCCTAGAGCCGCTCCCTACAGTGGACCTCAACGGAAATGCGTTCAGTAAACAGAATTCCACTCAATGCTCCAGAAATCCCTGCGGGGGACCCTGACCTCACCTGGCTCCCTCAGAATTTCCTAAGCTTGTTTGACGACAGCCCGCTTTTCAGGGGCCATTGTGCCTGACAGCCCGGGAGAGGGTGGATTCGACAGCAACAGAGCCAGGCGCTGCCTTTCAGGGGAGGGGTGAGAGGGGCCTCACTCCTGCTGTCCAGAAAGTTCCCTCTGGCTCCAGTGAGATAGTTTGGACTAGGAGGGAACAGCCCCTTGTGGAGTCTGCAGACCGCTGCAGGGGTCAGCACGGCTTCTTCCGGGAAAAGACTCACCTGATTGTCCTTGGAGGCAGCTGAGCCCCCCCCCTCCCCCGCCAGCAGCCAACAACTGGGTGATTTCCATGAAAGGCCTGTTAACGTAAAAAAACCATTGAAACCTGTAAAGAATTTTTGTGAGTTTATTTGAGCCAAACTGTCACATATGCCGGGAAACAGAACCTCAACGAATTGAGATAATGCTCCGGAGAATGGCGGGGTTACATCTGTATTTATACATTTGCAATCAAAGGAGGGACGTAGGTGGGTTACATGGAATTCACTGGTGACAGATTAAGGAGGAGGGATAAAGCAAAGCGACGAAACCCCTGGGTTTGGATAAAAAGTGAAATGATGGACACATACTTAGGTGGGGCGCAGGATCAATTAACATGATAATGAAGGAATCTGTGGTCTCTGTCCTGGTGCCCAGCACATTTGGTTGTGCCCCAGGGGCTCCAGAAAAAGGGAAGTTACAAGTTACCCAGACATTTCAAAGGGTGTGTTATCATAGATGCAAAAAGACAGACAGGCTCAGTTAAGGTAAAGGTTGACCTCGTCAGTGAAGATACTGGCCCAGGACGTAACTGCCCACCATCACTGCTTTTAGTTAAAGTTTAATTTCAGACCATCCTTTGTGGTGACTTTAGGTCTCTGAGTTTGCAAGACCGCCATGCAGGACTCCTTGAGCCGGTCTGGTCAGCACGTGGCCCCTTTCGTCCACAGGCCCATCTGGGTGCTTGGCCCTCAGCTGGCTTTTCTGTTCATTTAGGAAGATCACTTATCTGTGCCGGGAATGGAACAAACACCAGCTCTGAGAACTGGGGGTTCAGAGGGGAGATGCTCTCTTGGCTGTTTATCTAGAGCAGCGGTTCTCAACCTGTGGGTCGCGACCCCTGAAAATACATCCTGCATATCAGATATTTACATTACGATTCATAACAGTAGCAAAATTACAGTTATGAAGTAGCAACGAAAATAATTTTATGGTTGGGGGTCACCACAACATGAGGAACTGTATTAAAGGGTCGCGGCGTTAGGAAGGTTGAGAACCACTGATCTAGAGACTGAAGCGAGAGGAGGAGCCAGAACAGGGCTCCCGCAGACGGGGCGTGAGGCGAATGAGGACTGGATGGGCGTGCCAATTACCCTGCCGGAGCCTCAGTTTCCCCTCTGTGTAATGGACAGGTGCAGGCCCTACACCTCCTGATCCAAAGGCTCCGCCTCAGGGGGAGGGGCCGTGGGCGCTCGAGTGAGACAGACCAGTCCTGGGACCAACAGGAAAACAGAAAAGACCCTCGCTCTTAGATGGGTGTGGACCTGAGGACAGAGAAACATACACGGGCTCCCGGAGGGGCGTGGTGACCCTCAGAGCAGGGGAAGTGCATGGCACGGGACACCTCTTCTGCAGCCCACGGTGCTGGGGGACAGGGGACAACATCTCGGGGCTCTGGGAGGGCCTTCCGAGCCTCGATAAAGGTTAACTACCTCCCCTGAGGCCCCAGAACACCCATGACCACAGGCCTGGAAGGGACACCAGACGCTGACCCCAAAGCCACCTCGTTCCTGCCTGTGACCCAAGCCCGGCTCTCCCGGCCCCTCCTTTGAGCATCAGAACCTGGTTCCAGGTGAGAGAACTAACCAGCCCGCCCTCCGCCCTGTGGCTCAAGGGCCCCAGCGATCAGGGGCCCTGCGGAGACGGGTCCATGGCTGGCCAGGCACAGTTCTCGCGTGAGCCCCAAACGTCACCTTGGCACCAGGGCAGGTGACGGCCCCCTCTTACCCGGTCGTAGGAGCTCAGGGGACGGAGAGATCCCTCGAGGGTTTTTTTCTTCTTGCCCTTCAGTCAGCCCTCTTTCCTTTTCTGAAACAGAAACACCAGAGGAAAACCTCACCTGTCAATAATGGTTGACCAGATCTGAATCACAGTTTACAACACTAAGGACCATATACAGAAGTGTCCTCTTGTGTCCATGAGTCACCCACATGGCCTCTAACCTCTGAGCAACCCTGCAGAGTAGCCGTGATCATCCCTGGAGGGCGAGGGAGCCGAGGCACAGGAGGGGATGCACCCACCGCCCCAGTGTCCCCCCACAGGTGCGGGAGCAGGGACGGTGCCTCTCATTCTATTATGGCTGCACAACAGTCATGGTGCATGATCTGGAATGCAACTCAAGCCTGGCCAGCTGTGGCTTGGTGGTTGAGCATCTATCTGTGAATTAGGAGGTCATGGTTTGATTCCTGGTCAGGGCACGTTGCAGGCTCAATCCCTGGTGTGGGACATGCAGGAGGCAGCTGATTTCTGATCTGAAATCAACATATATATATTGCCCGGCTGGTGTGGCTTGGTGATTGAGCATCAACCTAAGAACCAGGAGGTCAGGGTTCAATTCCCAGTCAGGGCACATGCCCGGCTTGTGAACTCAGTCCCCAGTAGGGGGCGTGTAAGAGGCAGCTGATCAATGATTCTCTCTCATCATTGATGTTTCTCTCTCTCTCCCTCTCCCTTCCTCTCTGAAATCAATAAAATTGTATTTTTTTTTTAAAAAAAGAATGCAACCTAAGGTTTAGGCAACAGGTTTCCAGGGGCTGGGACCAAGCCTTGACACTGGGAGGTGGGGGTTAACACCTGGGCTTGATTGGCGCTCAGCCTGGGTCTACAGCTCAGCTCTGCCACTGACCTGCCATGTGGCCTTAGGTCAGTGGTTCTCAACCTTCTGGCCCTTTAAATACAGTTCCTCATGTTGTGACCCAACCATAAAATTATTTTCGTTGCTACTTCATAACTGTAATGTTGCTACTGTTACGAATCGTAATGTAAATATCTGATATGCAGGATGGTCTTAGGCGACCCCTGTGAAAGGGTCGTTCAACCCCCAAAGGGGTCGAGACCCACAGGTTGAGAACCGCTGCCTTAGGTAAACTGGTGGCATCCTGTGCCTCAGTTTCCCACTTATAAAATGGGGATCCTAGTAGTCCTTAGCTTGTGGGTCACAGCATGGACGAAACGTGTTGATATGCGTGTAGTTCTTGGAACAGAGCCAGGCGCGCAGGACGTGCTCCCTTAGTGCTATTGCTATGCTAGGACGTAGGGCCCCTCCCGCTGAAGCCGGTCTCAGGAGGGAAGCCCAGGCTCACTCTTCATCGCATTCCTTGGTCCATTGACAGTACCTGGGTGCTGGCTGTCATCAGGACCCTGTGCCAGGCTCAGAGGCTAGAGGGCTGGCTGAGACACAGGTCTGCCCTCAGCAGCTCAGTCTAATGGTGGAGACCATCTCTCTATATATAAACCCTAATATGCAAATAGACCGAACGGCGGAACAACCGGACAACCGGTCGCTATGATATGCGCTGATCACCAGAGGGCATGCATGGAACATGGAGGGTCTTGGCAGAGGTGGCAGAGTGTAAACATGATGGGCATTGGCCACGGTGGGATGGTGGAGTGTGAAAGATGTAACAGCCGCAACCTGCACGGCTAGGGTTCAGGACCTGGAGAAGGGCTGCACACAAATGAAGAGACTAGACAAGAAATACGAATTTGGAAACTACAGGGGGCCAGGCGGAGAGTCTTTCTCAAGAGGAAAAGCTTCACTGGTGCTCAGGCCCCGCCAGCCTTTTTTTCAATTTTAGATACACATCTTGCCCTTAGGCAGGCAATTCCGATAGCAGACAGACTATCTTAAAGGTCAGTAAATATTAGTAAAGATTCACTTTGAGACTATTAGGTCAGGAAATTGCTTGAGCCACCATTGTCTCGATTGACCAATAGGTGCATAGCTTTGGCCCTTGCCAAAGCTCAAGGTCCATCAGCCTTCTGGGTTCCTTGTTTGCACTTTCCTGATAGTGTAGACAATGGATAGCTTCCAGCAGTGGAGCAAGTGAGCAGGGGCATCAGACCAAGGCAGGGCACTGGTTGCTGTCATCGGGGCGAGCCTCTGGTAGTTACTGAAAATTCTTTGCTTCCACATGCCGTGGTCCCACCACCGGGTGCTCGCACCTGCTGACGGCGCTGGCCCTGCTCATACCTGCTGCTGGTGCCAGCCCCAATCACTCCGTGCCATCAGCGGATGCGAGCCGGGCGGCACCATCAGTGCATGGGAGCAGCGTCGGCAAGAGCGGGGCTGCTGGCAGACGGGGACTGGGAGCCGAGGCAGGAGGGGCTGGGCGGGGGCACAGAGGATGGGCCGAGAGCTGCTCCTGTGCCCACCACAGTCTTGCAGCCCACAGTTCCTTTCAAGGTGCACAAATTCGTACACTGGGCCCCTAGTTGTATATAAACAATCGCAACAATTCATTGTGGGGGAAAGGGTTACAGAATGGCAGCCTGGACGCCTGGCATGCGGGGCTCAGTGTCAAATTTCCCTAAACCAAACACACACATGTGCCCCAAATGGCGGCGAGTGATTAAAACGTGGCCTTGAAAACCTCAGTCTCAGCTTTCCAGTTTTCAAAGCTCCCTCCCAGACATGCCCATTTTTGGCCTTCCCAGGGGTCGGAGGTACACGGCTGGGTAGTGGCCCGAGAGCAGAGGCCAAGAGCCAGGGAGCCACTGCGTGCGCTAGTGAGACGGGCTGCAGGCACCCAGGAGGCGGCAGCACGCAGCAGGTGAACAGTTAAAGACACGCTCCTCGCTCACTCCTGTGCGTGTCCGCTGTGCTGATCCCCGAGCCTGAACCTGACGGAGACCATCCCTTCAGCACCGCGGAGAGCTCCCAGGGCCCCGGCGGGCTATGACTTCAGTAATGAACCCTGAGAGCAGCGGCCTGTCAACATGGAGCTCACCGGGGCTTTGCAACAACGTGAGCCTCACACTCCCCAGTCAAAGCAAAACCCACAATCACTCCACGTCACAGGGGGGCGCTCAGAAAGATGATGGGAGCAAGACGAGCGGCAGTGACGAGCCAGGAGCACCCCGGGCTTGGAGCCTGCTCCTGAGGGAGACCCCACCGCAGCCCCGGGTGAGGGGGATGTGGGCCAGGTCACCTGTGCCCGCCTCACAGCAGCTACCGTCTCTCCTCTTCCCGCTCAGCCCTCTGCTGTTGCACAGGGCGGAAGCTGTTTTTTTAATTGGAAGAAATACTTTAAAATACATTTTATTGTGCGTCTCTCTATTCTATTACTATAGGTCAAGAGTCACCATAACTGGGTTTGTCGCTTTGCTGCCATCCGGGCTCTGTGTTTCGGCTTCTTTATGAAAAACAAAGACCCTCCTGCAAGCTTCCTGTGTTTGCCCAGAAAGCATAGTTCCCGCGACAAAGGCACCTGGGAGCAGCGGGCGTATTTCCCTCTGAAGCTGCCTCTCCCGCCGAACTTCCCACACAGGACTTGTACCCGACTGACCTGCCCTACATACAGCCACGTCCACGGTGAGCTGATCACTAGCGCAGGGCGTGGCTGTGTGAGAACATCTCCCACACGCCCGAGCACATCAGCTGCAAGGGAAGAGGAGAAGTCGAAGATGACTGAGCAAAGGAAGGTAGATTTTTTAAAAAGCGTAGCCAGCAGCAGAGCAGAAAACCAACTGATGGGAGAAAAATCCGTCCCAGTAGGACCTTGACCAGCACAGACCTTCCAAGTTCAAACCAAACTAGTGAGGCTGTTAACTCGGGCTGCCTGGTGGGGGGAGTGTTAGGAGAGTGGGGCAGGGCATCCATAAAAAGACATTGAGCATAAAAGGGGCCGTTTGTGTAAAATTATACCCGTGCATCTGCGCACAGGGGCGGCCCGAAGGCCGGGTCACACGAGGGCCCAAGGGGGTTAGCAGGTTTGGCGAGATTCAAGGTGACCTCTGTTTTCTCCCTAAAGCTGCCAGCTTGAATTCTTTGCGATGAGCATGTATTATTCATAGAACAGGAAATGCCACAGAAAGGGTGTTCATTGAAAGGTAGAGAGGAGCCAGATGCAGGTTCTGGCCTAGGGACCTCGCAACAGAGAAGGCCAGATGTCCCTGTGATACGGTGATGGGGAACATGGGCACCCTGCCTGCCTCACACCCTCCCGGTGGCCCTGCCTACCTCTAAGGAAAATCCCACAGGCCCCATGACGCTGCAAGAGCCTTGCTCAGCTGCCTTCATGTCCACCAGTGTTTTTTTTAAAACATTTTATTTTGAGACTAGAGGCCCGGTGCACGAATTCATGCGCAGGTGGGTCTGGCTGGCCCCCTCCCCATGGGGGCCCATCAGGCGGGGCTGGCGGCTGGCGGGGGGGGGAGGGGTGGGCATGGGTGGTTGGCCAGCTGGCCCGGCTTCCGATTGGGGTGTTGGAGGCCGATTGGGGGCCGGGTTGGCCGGGGGCGGGGGCCAATCGGCCTGGATCAGGCTGGTTGGCTGCTGCAGTGCACGTCATAGCCACCAGTCATTCTGGTGGTTCCGCTGTTCCAGTCGCTGGGCTTTTTTTAAAAAAAATATATTTTATTGATTTTTTTTACAGAGAGGAAGGGAGAGAGATAGAAAAGTCAGAAACATTGATGAGAGAGAAACATCGATCAGCTGCCTCCTGCACACCTCCTACTGGGGATGTGCCCGCAACCAAGGTACATGCCCTTGACCGGAATCGAACCTGGGACCTTTCAGTCCGCAGGCCAACGCTCTATCCATCGAGCCAAACCGGTTTTGGCCAGTCGCTGGGCTTTTATATGTGTAGATAATTGTAGAGTCACATGCAGTTGTAGAAAACAATACAGAGGGACCAATCCCACTATGCCCTTCACCAGTTTCCCCCAATGCTGACACCTCGAAAGACTGTAGCACAAATTGACAGACCAGGCAGTCAGCATCACTGCAACCCATTTGTCTCATTTGGATTTCCCTGGCTTTGCATGGACTCATGTGTGCATGGTGTGTGTGTGTGTGTGTGTGTGTGTGTGTGTGTGTGTGTGCGCGCGCACAGTGTGTGCACCAGGTGTGTGTGGTGTGTGTTTAGTGCTGTGCAGGTTTATTACATGTAGATTCGAGTGCCCTCCACCGCAGTCAAGATTCAAAACAGCGCCACAGCCGCCGCCCTGCCCCCTCCCCACCTCCTGGCAACCACTGGTCCGTTGTCTGTGGCTACAGTTTGTTGTGCTGATTAAGTCAGGTAAATGGGCCCGCACAGCTGCTTCACTTAGTCCAGTTCTCCTCCTGGGTGTGAAAGTGGGTGGATGGAGAGCAGGGACGGGGTCAGAGGGACCCAGCGGTAGTTTCCAGATCCTTTTGGCAGAGTCACTTGGACTCTCCGGGTCTCGGTTGTCTCATCTGGAAAATGGGCAGCACACAGCCTCCTCTGCAGGGACGGGGAGTAGCTTTTCCCCGATGGATGCCAGTGGCGCTCACCACCTGAGCACTCTTAATGGCCCCAACTCCGTCTGAGGTGCGCCACCATCGTAATCTCTTTAAATAGCCTACTCGGCCTGTAGGAGGGGCTGTTCTTCCCGTTACTCAGATGAGGGACCTGAGGCTCAAGGCGACCCAGGGGGCAAATGGGGGAACCGCCATTCACGCTCCAGACTGTCTGGCAGGTGTGGGTGTGGCATCCTTTCTATTTGACAGGGAGGGGACCGAGACTTCATTGCGACGCAGCTAGTTTGTGGCCGAGCCAATGCCAAAGCCTGGTACTCCCACTCCTTACCCAGCACCGACTGGTTTCTCTGTGCCTCTCTGCCCCTAGGAGCTGTGTGGGGGGAGGGGGGGGGGCTTTCCTTTTGTGTCTTCCCAGCAGCGCAGAAGTAGTCTCCTGCCACCGGAGCCAGGCTGGGTGGTTTGAATGCCCACTCTGCCACCGACCAGCGGGGGGAGGGGGGTGGCTTAGGAAAATGACTGACCCTTTCCATTAAAAGGAGACCTGTCCTTCAGGGACCATGTCCTTCAAGGACCATGGCTCCAACTGCCTGGTCTGGCCCTCAGCCTGCCTCATTGCCACCATTGCACAGCCTCTCGCCTCCACTGCCCATCGGTCTCCACACACATGCCAGAGTCTGCCAACCTCTGCAGGGTATCCCCTCTCTTCCAGATCCCTTCATCCCCAGGAGTCCCCAGGGGGCCTTCAGCCTCTCGACCTTTTGTGACCTCTAGGGGGCAGCAGGCTGGAAGCCCACACCATGGTCTTCATGCTGTCCCTCTGGCCCCTCCCTCCTTGTCTCAGCTCAGCTCAATGTTTCCTCCTCCGGGAAGCTCCCTGACCATTTGGGCAGCTCTAGGAGTTCTGTTCTCTGCACTCCTGTTGCCCCGGCTACCCCAGCACAATGACCCCCACACTCTCTCTCCCTGCCCACGAGCCCTTGAGGAGAGAGACCGGATGTTTCCACGCCAGGTCCCTGGTACCAGGCAGGGCACCAGCACGCAGCAGATGTCCGTCAGCAGCTAGGTGTGTGAGTTTGCACTGGGCTGTTGGGCTGCCAGGCCAGGGTACCACAGACTGGGTGGCACAGAAATGAGGCGATTACAGGCCTGGAGGCTGGAAGTCCAAGGTCAAGATGGGGGCAGGGCGGTTCCTCCCGAGGCCTCTCGTTGGCATGTGGATGGCCATCTCCTCCCTGTGTCCTCACGGGGTCGTCCCTCTGTGCCTGTGTCCTCATCGCCTTTACTTATAAGGACACCAGTCAGATTGGATCAGGACCCACATCAATGACCTCATTTTACCTTAATTATGTACTTAAAGACCCTACAGCCCTGACCGGTGTTCTCAGTGGGTAGAGCAGTGGCCTGCAGATTGAAGGGTCCCAGATTTAATTCCGGTCAAGGGCACATGCCGGGGTTGTGGGCTCGATCCCCAGTAGGGGGGGTGCAGGAGGCAGCTGATCAATAATTTGCTCTCATCATTGATGTTTCTATCTCTCTCCCTCTCCCTTCCTCTCTGAAATCAATAAAAATACATTAAAAAAAAATAAAGATCTTACCTCCAAATTCAGTCACATTCTGAGGTCCTGGGGGTTAGGACTTCGACACATGAATTTTGAGGGGTCATAATTAGCCCACAACACCCTCCTGCTGTCTCTTCCCCCCTGACCCCCTGTCATCACACTCCTCTCATACTGGGGGTGTTGGGGAGGCCGAGGGCATTTTTGGGGAAGAAGCTGAAAGGAAGTTGAGTCCAGGATGCCTTCATTTGTGCTTAGTGGGTATGTTTATATGGCTCCCAGCTGGTCTGTGTAGGTCAAACTATTGCTCCCTGGGCGGGTATATCGGCTTCCAGGATTATCCTCTCCACACTGTGCCAACCCAGGGGCACGGGTGGGAACCTGTGTTGGGGTGCCTGGCAGCAGAGTACATGGGTAGAGGAGGAGACACAGGCTTACAAGGTGATCTTTCAACAGGGAGACCTGGACTTGCAGACCTGCAGTCACAGGAACCCGGGCATCCGCGAGTCCCAGACCTCCCAGGCTCCCGCTGGCCTCGCCTCACCTGGGGCGCAAAGTGGAACCCCCGTGGCTGGGTCCTGCTGCGTGGAGGTCCCCCCTTCAGTGGGGTGCAGGAGAGCCCAGGCATCTGCCTTGTTCATGTGCTCCCCCAGGGGCACCGAGCTAAGGAAGTGCTGGTTGAGTCACTTCCTGGTTTGAATTTATACGATTCTTTTTATTGAGAAAATTAATACGATTGCAATAAGAAAGCTGAAAAAAGGAATTCTTCCAAATCTTAGTGATCATTTATGAGAGAATGAGAGAGGTTTTCCCAGTTGGGACAGTGAATGAGCATGACTTCCAAAAGTGAGCGATGAGGTGGAAAGTGTCCTAAGCGACATGGAAAATGCCACCATTGGACGAGCACGCTGGATTATTCAGTTTTTTCTCGGAAAAAAATTACAAATCATTACAAATCATTGTCCTATAAAAATACAACCCAAAAGGATGAAAAAGCAAAAAAAAAAAAAAAAAAAAAAAAAAAGAAAGAAAAGAAAAAAGTAGAGAGAAAGCTATTATAAAGGTGGTCAGGTAGTTAATTTTAAAAATTATTATTTTTCTGGATTTATAAAGTTTGTTACCTGTCAACTTGAAACATTGAACAATTTGTTTTTTAATTATTCTAAATACATATTCACTTTGGTGCCTAATTTTGTATTAATTTCCCTTAAATTTTTTTTTCTTAAAGGGGCCTCCAAATAGAAGCTTCAGGTCCTATAAAACCTCCCCACTGCTGGTTGCCAGCTCAGTATCCATCCTCCCCTCTTCTGCACACACAGAGCCCTGGTTTTGTTTCAGGTAACAATGTCCATCCTTACATTATTATTATTATTATTTCCACGAAGCCAGGGGTGGCCATGTGACCTGCTCTGTCCAATGAACCCTGAGGGAAGTGATGTGTCTCTTCCAACATGAAGCTGTAAAAGCCGGTACAATTTGCCACCTTCCCTTCCTACTGCCCAACTGACCCCAGGTACAGTTGAGATAGACTAGCATTAAGCAGAGCCCTCTGCTGGACCAGATGGGATGTGCTGGGTGAGCAAGAAAGACGCTGAGATTTGGGAGTGTTTGTTACTGGGGCTTCACATAACGCATCCTGTCCAGTACCTTTAAATACCTGCATACAGCCCTAACCGGTTTGGCTCAGTGGATAGAGCGTCGGCCTGCGGACTGAAGGGTCCCAGGTTCCATTCCCGTCAAGGGCATGTACCTTGGTTACGGGCACATCCCCAGTGGGAGGTGTGCAGGAGGCAGCTGATCAATGTGTCTCTCTCATCGATGTTTCTAACTCTTTATCCCTCTCTCTTCCTCTCTGTAAAAAAAATCAATAAAATATATTAAAAAAAAATAAATACCTGCATACATCTGACAGTATTCTGAGCGCCCTGCCTGGCGAAACAGCCCAGGATGAACAATAAATTCTCTCCTGTAGCTTATGCGATGCCCTGGCCTCTGCCCACCTCCCGCCTCACCTCTCTCTGGCCCAGAGACATCTGCTGTGTTTTAGTCTCAAATATGCCCATTGTCCTGGAACAAGGTGTTTCCACGCTCAGGAGGACGCTGTACCTGGACGCCCCGCCCTTTCTCCTCTTTGCTGGACTGGAAGTTGCGAGGACAGTGGCTTTCTCTCAGCTGTTTCCTGTGGTAGCCCTAGGTCTTAATGGCTGCCTGGCTCCTAGTAGGTGCTCAATAAATATTTGTGGGACAAACGGAAAGAATGAATCCTTGCCTAGCTCCCTGCGTTCACTCCTCTACTGTTTGGTGATGGGGCTTTGCCTGGTGGGGATGACCTGGGGCTCAGGTGTGAGACTCCCGCCTCCGCCACTTGCTACTTGTGTCACCTTCAGCATCTCCCTTTAACCTCTGACCGTGAGATTCCTGTACAAAGGCGAAAACATCGTAACGCGATCTTGTGTCTTCCCCACCACCAATTGCCTGATGATCACAGCCCCAGGTTTGCATACCCTCCTACACCCCCCACCCCAAACCAAACAAGCCTGGATGCGAACCCGCTGTGGGTAGGGACAAACTTCCCCGGGCCTTAGCTCCAACTGGCGCCCGAAAGCCCCCAGGGACAGCTCCTACCCAGCGGGCACCCAGAAGCGGCGCTCACCCACCCAAGGAACCCCAGCCCCTCCCCGGCGCGGGCCGCCGGGCCCAGTGCGCACGCTCCGGCCTCCCCGCACCTCCTCTCCCGGCCGCAGAGCCGCTCCCAGCGCCGGCCTAGGGCGGGGGCGGGGCGAGCGCCACGCCCTCCTCTCTGACTGACAGGAGGACCGCCCAATCGTCGGGGCGCCTCGGGGGCGGGGCGGGGCCGCGCGGGGAGCCGGGCGCCGGGCGGCCGCGGGAGCTGCAGCCCGGAGTGTGCGGCACGCGCGGGCCGGCCGCCCCGAGCACTGTCACCCGCGCTGCTGCCACGGGACCCGCGCCCCGCCGAGCCGCGCGCACAGCAGCCAGGCGTCACCATTTGCCTCCGACGATTTTGGGGTTTTTTTTGCACGCATCCTTTTTCTGTTCCGTTTTGTCCTTTTTAAGGCGGGGGCGGCGGCGGCGGCGGCGAAGGCTGGGACGGGGAGGGGCGGCCGGAGGATGCGGCGCGGGACTGCGCTCGCTACGCCCGCTGCTGCTGCCCGGCTCGGGCCCGAGCGCCCAGCAGGTGGGTACAGGTACCCCGGGGGGACGGGAGGCTCGCGCTGGCCAAAGGGGACCCGCGGACCCCGCGACCGATGGGTGGACCGGGCGGCAAGGGACGCGGTTACCGGTGCCGCCCCGCCCCATCGCCCACCTCTCCTCCTCCAGCCTTCGCGCCCCTCCTGAGTCCCCTGCCACGCTCGCTTCTCACCTCCGTGAGCCCCATCCTTCCGTCCCCATCCCCCACTCCTCTCCAAATGCCCCTGCATCCTCCCCGCCAGGGACTCTGCGTCGCCTCTCTCGCTAGGACCCCTCCCCATCCCGCGCCAGCCCCTCTCTCTCCCTCACGCCACCCTCACGTCCTCTCTCCATTCCGCCCCCGAACTGAGGAGGGGGAGGGGACCCACCCAGCGCCTCCAGGGAGTGGCTGGGGGGCGTGGCCGGCCCGTCCCCTCCGCGTCCTACCCGCAGAGTAGGTCAGGGTCCCCCAATCCCGGCCGAGGTGGCACAGAGGATGGAGCCCAGAGCCGCGACGCGGCGGCCAGGGGCCGGAGGGTGAGGCCGCTCTGCCTGCACTCCCGCCCCACGCACAGCACACGCTGCCGCGGCCCCTGCCACGCACACCCCCGCGCTGCTCCGCTCACGTGGGCGCCGGGGAGAAGGCTGGAAAGATGGGAAGAAAGGCGGGTACCCACCTTCCTGCCCGGCCGGCGCGCCCTGGGCGCACTGGGCCTCCGCAGATGGCGCACAGGGATCGGCTTCAGTGGGTCCGGGGACCTTGCCGGGCACCCTGGGTGCAGGCGGCGGCCTCTCGGGCCTGCGATAGTGCGCCACGCCCTCGCCCTCGCCTCCAGCTCCCTCTCTGCACCTCTCCGTCACGCCACCCTCTTTGCTGCGGGCCCCGGAGGGCGCAGCCTGGTCATCTCTGATGGAGGCCGCTGGCCAGGCTGAGCCTCTTGCCTTAGAAGCACCCCCCTCGCGCCCCTCCCCACACATCCTAGTCTGCTCTTCTCCTGCCGGCGGCGTGGTCAGCCTGGGCTCCCCGCCAGCCTCTGCCAGCTCCTTAAGCGCTGGAGATACTGTATCGAACCGCTGGGCCGCTTCCGCCACCCCGGCCATTCCATGCGCGCTCACAGGCACCCTGTCCTTGGCCTTTGCTCATACTGTTCCCTCTCCCGGAAGGCCCTTCCTTCAACTAGCCAGCTCCTTGACCAAGGTCCGAAGCCCTTGCCCCCCCTGAGCTTCCCTGTGTGCCAGAACTGCTGTCCCTTCTGCTGGGCTCTGCCTACCTGGCCAGATAGGAAGTGGGGGTGGGGGGGGGTAAGGAGGGTGCTGCCGGGACAACCTCAGCCCCTCACACAGGGGGGGTGAGGGCGTGGCTTGCCCCTAACTCAGTGTGACCCACTGTGTGGGGGAGGCTGGGGTAGGAGCTGGCTTCTCCTCCAGGAACTGGGCAGGTGTGTGGCATTTTCATGAGCTCCATGGATGAGGAGGGGCAGATTTGCGGAAGGGGTGGGGTGGTCAGGTGCCCCATCAGGATGCTTGCCCAGGTGGGCATTGTCCGTTCCCGGGAGACCTGCTGCTCTGAGGACACTGGCATCACTCAGTGGAGGCGGATGGATGATTGCAAAGTTTTGTTGTTGTTGTTGAGACTCGCACACGTGGTCTGTAATGCTGAACATGGCTGCTCCCAGTCAGCGGTAACGCTCACCTTGAGTCTTTTCACATCCAGAGGCCCCTCAGAGGGGCAGAGTGTGGGCTCAACGAATGAGATCATTGCCATTTTCCTCCTTCACAGCCATCCATGGCTCCCACTGCCCCAGGACCGCACAGGTTCCTCACATCCTGGCTTTCCCGGCCCAATTCTGCCCCCCTTGCCACACTGTCCCAGCCACACGTGCACCTCTGTGTCCCGCTGCTGTGTTCCCTAGACACATCCTCACACGTAGGTTTTCCCCGGAAATGTTCCCCTGCCTTGCTTGTCTGGAGAACTCCTATTCATACGAGAAGGCCCGACTCGCATGCTATCCTTCGTCGTGTCTCCGGACTCTGCCAAACAGAGTGTGTGGTTCTCTCATCTGTGCTCTCTCAGGACTTGATTCCCCTACACGGTATAGTATTTATGTCCCTTTTCCTTCAGCAGACCGTGCCCCCTGGAGGCGGGGGCACAGTGAGGTCTGAGAGATGGCGGGCTTTGCTGGGGCCTCCGTCTTCCGGGGAGGCAGTCACTCGGGCACTCACACTGCCAGGGCCGAGAGACACACACAGAGGGGCAGACCGCGGGAGGGGCTGCCCTAGGTCTGCGGAGCAGGCTTCCTGGGGGAGAGGCCGGCTGGAGGCCCGCTCTCTGGGGTACGGGGTGGGTTGGGCCGGCCAGGGGAGAAGTGGCAGAAGAAACAGCTTGTGAGGAAAGGGTGAGCCAGCAGCGACGCTTGCTGGCTATTTGTTTAACTCCTTGAGGTCTGGAACCTGCCTCCCTGTCGCCTCAGGTGTGTGTGTGTGTGGTGGTGGTGGTGGGGGGCGGGCGCAGATTGCCCGGCTTCCCGTTCCCACTGGCCCCTCACTCAGCTCTGACTGGGCAGGTGCTTCCCTCCCGAGTCTTCTACCTAAAATGGGGTGCCTCACCCCAGCTGGTTTGTTTCCGTGGATAGAATGTCGACCTGCGGACTGAAGGGTCCCAGGTTTGATTCCGGTCAAGGGCACATGCCCAGGTTTCAGACTCGATCCCGAGTAGGGGGCGTGCAGGAGGCAGCCCATCAGTGATTCTCTCTCATCTCTCGCTCCCTCTCCCTTCCTCTCTTAAGCCAATAAAAACATTTTAAAAAAATAACATAAAATGGGGTGCTGCCCTGGGGATGACTGCAGTGTCGCCTGGATCTCAGTCACTCCCCTGTGGTGGTTGGCTCACGTGTCCTGTTCCTCATGGCTGTGTGATGCTGGGCAAGAGGATGACCTCTCTGAGCCTGCTTTTCCTGTACAGATGAGGATGGTGGTTGGTGTGGGGACCAGAGGTGTGGTCTCTGGGCACAGGAGGCGCTTAATAAGTGGCCATGATGAGGGAGTGTATGATAAACGATTTAAAAAGACTCCTTTAGCGTTGTCAGCGCAAACGTCCCAGTTCTAGGCCCTGGTCCTTGCCTAGCTAACAACAATGAGCGGAGTTTCCCAGGAGTGAAAGATGGAGGGCTGCGGCTGGCGCGAGGGCTCCTGTGGGCTGCGCAGACGAGTGCGGAAGGTGCTGTGCGGCCTGCGAGAACCTGAACCCAGAGTCCACTGAGGGGAGGCTGCCTGCCCGCCCCGGAGCAGTTCCTCCGATGCCTCGTTCATCTGCACTTCTTTTCTGCTCCGCGTTTGGGGTATGGAGGTCCCAGGAACTCCCACTCAGCGCCTAGGAACTCTTAGCGGAACCCATGCCCATGAGCCGTGGCCAGCAGCGAGGGGAGCTGAGCGGTGAAGGAACAGGGCTGGGCCAGCGGAGCCTCGCCGAGGACCAGCTCAGACCCTGCTGGCTGTGTGACCTGGGGCGAGTCACTTCACCCCTCTGTGCCCAGTTCCTTTTTCTGTGATCGTCACTTAAGGGAAGTAGCTAGCATTGCTTAAACTGCCCCGTTTGCTGAGAATTGTTCCATTTAGGCTGCACAGCACGGCCTGGGGTGAGGCTTCTGTGAGCACCTGACGAGCTGGGGCTGGTGTGGCCATGGAGGGGGGTGGAAGTCACCAGCCTTGGACCCTGCAGGGGAAGATGGCCTCTGGTGGCCTCCCTCCAGGCGGTCTGAGCTCAGGGGAGGAGCCGCCTCGGTGCTGGTAGGAGAAGCGGGTCACCTCCGAGCAGTACCGGTAGCCACGGGTGTTGCTGTCATTCAAGGCTCAGAAAAGGAGGCCGCGGCCGCCAGCAGGGGGCCTGGGTGTTGTCCCTCTGGCTCTGAAGGCTTCAGACCACGTGTTCTCTGCTCCTGCCTTTGCCGGCCCGTGGACAGCTCTCCAGCCGGGACAGCGACTCGCTGTTGCCTTTGGTGTTCGTAGTATGTACTTGCAGCGCCGTAAGGAGAGGTATTGTCCCCTCATGGGCCATGAAGTGAGATACATGCCGTTTTCCTTAATTATAACAGTTGCCCCTTGCCAAGCACTTAACCAATGCCAGGGTGCATGCCAGGGGTTGGCAAGCCCACCCGCCCGCCGCCTGTTTTTGTAAATAAAGTTTGATTGGCACCCAGCCCCGTCCATCCCTGTACCTGCTGTCTGTGGCTGCTTTTGCGTTGCGTGGGCAGCTCGGGCAGTGGAGGCAGACACCTGGGAAGCCAGGAGCATTTACTGTCCGGCTGCCGCCTGGTCTGTCTGTCTGTCCTGGATTTGAGTTCATTCAGTCCTGGTCACAAGCCCAGAGGAGAGGCCCTGTGCCTCCCATTTCACAGATGGGCACAGAGAGGCTATGAAAACCAGTCCACGGTCACAGAGCTGGTAGGTGGGGAGCAGGGATTTGAATCCAAGGAGCCTTTATTATTTTTTCGGGGGTGGGGGGGGGGAGGGATTTATATATGTTATTAGCTTCTAATGGAATCTTACCTGTTCGGAGAATGTGGACTGTGTGATACCTATTCCAAAAAATGTGGTGACAATTCCTTAATGGCCTGGGTCGCGACCCTTTCTTAAAATACCTCGTGTTAAGTGTATACCGATACGTCGTTATGGGCGACCTATTCCCCACGTGTATGTGTCCAGGTCAGTGGTGTTACGTGCGCTCGCACTGCCGCACAGCCATCACCCCCTCCACCTCCAGGCCTTCTCCGGCACCGGAACTGGCACTCAGGCTGGTGGCCGTGCCCGCAGCTGCCTTGAGGGAGTTTTGTGGGAAAAGCAGATGCTGGCGCCCATCCGCAGGGCAGCCCAGGGGCTTGGATGGCGCCGTGGGTTGGAATGTTGCCTCTGCCATTTACCACCTCGGATCGTGGCCGAAGCGTCTGCACCTCACATCCCTTCACAGCTCAGTGCCCTTTCTGTGAACTGGGGTTCACCCCGTGCCCGCCTGCCTGTGAAAGTGGAATAAGGGGTGGAGGTGGCGGCTGGAGCAGCGCCCCCTTATTTGGCGTTAGGTCAGTCCTGTCCACGTGGCCCGTGGCGTCCCCTTACCTTTCTGCAGATGCATTGTGTTAAATGTACGATTAATACCTAGTTATGGGCAACACGCTCTCCGCCTTCCCATGTCCTGGAAGCATCTCAGGACCCACCTGCTTCCTAAAACGCGGACCGGGCCCGGAGGACCCAGAGGGTGACCCCCTCGGTGGGTGCAGGCGCCCCGGTCCTCTCCCCCGTGGCCCGGACTTGGCTGAAGGGCCACTTTTGGGAATGAAAGGAGGTTCTGTGAGCGGCCGTGCCAGGACTGCCAAGGCTGCCCATTGTGGCAGGAATGGCCTTGTCCGTGCCAGGTCAGGGGACATGCTGGCCGGCCCGCTGCCCGCGCCTTCGCCGTGGCTGCATTTTGAGCAGGAGCCCCGGGCTGGCCCCCGGCCCCTTGCTCAGGGCTGGAGGGGTGGCCACGCCACTGAGGGTGTCCTGCTGCCCGTGAGGACAGGCTGG